AAAAAAAAAAAAAAAAAAAAGCAAAAGATTAATGAAATGAAAAGTTAGTTTTTTGCAAAAATAAAATTGACAAACCTTTACCCCAACTAAGAAAAAAGGAAGATTCAAATAAATAAAATCAGAGATGAAAAGGGAGACATTAGAACTGTTACCACAGAAATACAAAGGATCATTAGACGCTACCATGAGGAACTATATGCCAATACACTGGAACACCAAGAAGAAATGGAGAAATTCTTAAACACACACAACCTCCCAAGATTGAACTATGAAGAAATACAAAATGTGAACAAACCAGTAACAAGTAACGAGATTGACACCATAATAAAAAGTCTTCAGCAAAGAAAAGTCTGGGCCCTGATAGCTTGCCTGCTGAATTTGACCAAAAATTTAGAGAAGAACTAATACCAATCCTACTGAAACCATTCTGAAAAATAGAGGAGGAGGGAATATTTCCAAACTGGTTCTACAAGGCCACTATTACCACGATACCAAAACCAGAGAAAGACATATCAAAATAAGAAAACTACAGGCCAATATCTTTGACAAATGTTGATGAAAAAGTCCTTAACAAAATAGTAGCAAGCCAAACTCAACAACACATTACAAAGATCATTCATCATGACCAAGCAGGATTTGTGCCAGGGATGCAAGCATGGATAAACATATGCATATCAGTCAATGTGATACATCATATCAATAAAATGAAAAGCAAAAAACAAATGATTGTTTCAATTGATGCTGAAAAAGAATTTTGTAAAATTCAATATCCCTTCATGATGAAAACCCTCAAAATGATGAGGATAGCTGGGCACCACTGTAGTCCCAGTTACTCAGGAGACTGAGGCAAGAGAATAGCTTGAGCCCAGGTGTTCTGGGTTGTAATGCACTATACTGACTGGGTATCCACACTAAGTTCAGCATCAATATGGTAATCTCCCAGGAGTGGGGAACCACCAGGTTGCCTAAGGAGGAGTGAACTGGCCCAGGTTGGAAAAAGAGCCAGTCAAAACTCCCGTGTTGATCAGCAGGGAGATTGCACCTGTGAATAGCCACTGCACTATGATCTGTTGTCTACAACAAGCACACTTCACATATGATGATACATAGGCTGAAAATAAAGGGACAGAAAAAAATACTCCATGTCAAAGGAAACAAACAAACAAAAAACAGGAGTCACTATACTTATACCAGACAAAATAGACTTCAAGACAAAAACTATACAGCCTGGCAACAACGTGAGATTACATATTTAAAATAACTAATAAAATAAAAATAAACAAACTTTTCAAAAAAAACACTGAGTATAGAAGGAACATACCTCAACACAATAATCAACACAATAAAAGCCATATATTACAGACTTACAGCTAGTATCATACTTGTGTTAGTCCGTTTTTCTACTACTATAAAGAAATATCTGAGACTGAGTAATTTATAAAGAAAATAATTTTAATTGGCTCATGGTGCTTTACAGGACACATGACGCTGGCATTTTCTTGCCTTACGGGGAGGCTTCAGGAAACTTAAAATCATGGCAGAAGGCAACAGGGGAGCAAGCACTTCACATTGTCAGAGCAGGAGAAAGAGAGGCAGGGAGGTGCCACAAACTTTTGAACAACCAGCTCTCATGAGAACTCACTCACTGTCATGAGACCATCACCACGGGGGAAATCCACCCCCACGATCCAGTCATCTCCCACCAGGTCCCACCTCCAGCACTGGGGATTAGAATTAGACACGAGATTTGGGCAGGGACACAGATCCAACCCATATCAATACTGAATGGGAAAACGGAAAGCCTTTCCTCTAAGATCTGAAGCAAGGCAAGGATACACACTTTCACCTCTGTTATCCAACACAATAGTGGAAAGCCTCCCTAGAGCAATTGGATAAGAGAGAGAAATGAACATTATTCAAACTGGAAAGGAAGAAATTACATTATCCTTGTTTGCAGATGATATGAGCTTACACTTGAAAAAAAAAACCTAAAGATTCCAACGGAAACCTATTAGAACTGATCAACGAATTCAGTAAAGTTCCAGGACACAAAATCAACATACAAAAATCAGTAGCATTTCTGTATGTCAACAGTGAACAATCTGAAAAAGAAATTTTAAAAAGTAATCCAATTTATAACAGTTACAAATAAAATAATATATACAGGAATAATCTTAACCAAAGAAGGGAAAGATCTCTACAATGAAAACTATAAAACACTGATGCAGGAAATTGAAGAGGACACCAGAAAATGGAAAGATATTCCATGTTTATGGATTGGAACAATCAATGCTGTTAAAATGTCCATACTACTGCAAACAATCTACAGATTAAATGTAATCCCTGTCAAAATATCAATGACATTCTTTACAGAAATAGAAAAATAATCCTAAAATTTATATGAAACCACAAAGACCCAGAATAGCCAAAGCCATCCTGAGCAAAAAGAACAAAACTGAAGCAATCACATTACCTGACTTCAAATTATACTACAGAGCTATGTAACCAAAACAGCATGTTACTAGCATAACAGATACATAGACCAATGGAACTGAATAGAGAACCCAGAAACAAATTCATACATCTACAGTGAACTCATTTTTGACAAAGGTGTCAAGACCATACATTGGGGAAAGGACAATCTCTTCAATAAATGGTGCTGGGAAAACTGGATATCCATATGCAGGAGAATGAAAGTAGGCCCCTATCTCTTGCCGTATACAAAAATCAAATCAAAATGGATTAAGAATTAAATCTAAGACCTCAAACTATGAAACTACTAAAAAAAAAGCATTGGAAAAACTCTCCAAGATGTTGGTCAGGACAAATATTTCTTAAGTAATTCCCCAGAAGCACAGGCAACCAAAGCAAAAATGGGACAAATAGGATCACATAGAGTTAAAAAGCTTCTTCTGCAGCAAAGGAAATTGTCAATGAAGTGAAGAGACAACTCACAGAATGGGAAAACATATTTGCAAATCATCCATCTGACAAGGAATTGATAAAATATATTAATTCAAACAACTCAGTAGGAAAAAGTCTAATAATCTGATTACAAAGTGCATGAAAGAGCTGAATAGAAATTTCTCAAAAGAAGAGATACAAATGGCACACAGGTATACGAAAAGGTATTCAACATCACTGATGATTAGAGAAATGCAAATCAAAACTATAACAAGGTATCACCTCACCCCAGTTAAAATGGCTTTTATCCAAAAGATAGACAATAACAAATACCAACAAGTAAGTGGAGAAAAGGGAACCCTTGTACACTGTGGGTGGAAATGTAAATTGGTATAACCACTACAGAGAACTCAAAAAAAAAAAACAAAAAAAAAACACCATAACTAGAACAACCATATGACACACCAATCCTAGGTATATGCTAGGTATATGCCCAGAAGAAAGAAAATCCATATATTGAAGAGAGGTCTGCACTACCATGTTTATTGCAGCACTATTCACAATAGCTAAGATTTGGAGGCAACCTAAGTGTTCATCAACAGACAAATGGATAAAGATAATATTGTACACACACAAGAGAGTACTGTTCAGCCGTAAAAAAGAATGAATGAAGTTCTGTCATTTGCAACAACATGAATGGAACTACAGCACATTATTTAAAGTGAAATAAGCCATGCATAGAAAGACAAACTTCACATGTTTTCACTCATTTTTAAAAGCTAAAAATTAAAACAATAAAATTCATAAAGACAGAGTAGAAGGATGGTTACCAGAGGCTGGGAAGGGTAGTGGGAAGTGGGGAAGGGAATGATTAATGGGTACAAAAACATAGTTAGATAGAATGAAGATCCAGTACTTGATAGCACAACAAGGTGACTATAGTCAGTAACAATTTATTGTTCATTTTTAAGTAACTAAAAGTATAATTGGAATGTTCATAATGCAAAGAAATGATAAATGCTTGGGATGATGGACATGGCATTCACCTTGTTATGATTATTACATATTGTATGCCTGTATCAAAGTATCTCATGTACCCCACAAATATACACACTGACTGTGTACCCATACAAATTAAGGATAAAAATTAATTTTACTATATTTTATTTTTTTAGTAAATAAAAGAGGTTTTATTTTGGCTCATGGTTCTGCAGGCTGTACAGGAAGCATAGTACCAGCATCTGCTTCTGGTGATGCTGGCACCAAAAATTAATTCTAAAAGATAATATGTTGTACTAAGTAAGTTCTAACGAGGGAAGGCAAGGATGAAATAGCTCTATATTCAGACCAATATATTTCGAAGGATTGGGAATATACACCATCAGTTAAACTTATGTTATAGTTTTAGTGAAGATCCAGAAACTTAACATGCAGTGAGAAAGAAGAATATATTTACCTGGAAAGGCAGGCTTTAGTAACAGCACTGTGAAGATTTTCATTAGGATACTGTGACAGCCGACGAGAAATTCGCAACAGTTGTCTGGTAGAAAGTGAGGCCGCTAATGATTGTGCCTATCAAAAGACAAATGTATTGTGTTAAGAGTCTTGTTTCAACTTGCTAAAGTCCCTTTAGATGGCTGTTACAGCAGAATTCATTATTCCTGAAGGGGTAAGGCCAAAGTTAAAGTATGTACTGTTAATTAATTATAAATAAAAATAAACAGAAACCAATTTACACTTAAAACATCTTTGAAGATAGTTTTTTAAAAATCTATTTAAAGTATTTATCAATTAAATTTAATTAATGTATTTTAACTGTGCTAAGTTGGAGGCGGGAGGGGCAACGGGGGAAGAATGTTACATAATAAAGGTCACACTGGACTTAAGCTGGACGATGGACTGTTCACTTTTTCTGCTTACACAAAGCCAAGGTGTTAAGATACCATGAAAATGCTTAAAGCTTTAAGCAAATCTGTGGTTTCTAAAAATAGCAAAAAAGAGTTGTAAACAATTTAGGCTGTTGACCACAGAGGTGTCAACCAATTTGTCACTTGTGTTGCAGCTTGCTGTTTTGAATCCTTCCCCTATGCTGTCAGAATAATTTCACTTTGTTATCTTACATTTCCCAAAATTCCATGAATAGAGTTGCTAGTATAGAACTCAGGACATGGTAAATACTCAATAAATATTTGTTGACATCCTTTTGGCAGGTAGCATAATATAATGGTAAAGTTTATAGGCTTTGGAATCAGATAAGTCGGTATCCTATTTATTAGCTGTGTGACCTTGGCAAATTACTTAACCTTTCCAAACCTCAGTTCCCTCACCTTTAAAATGGCAATAGTAATGCCCTCACCTTTAAGATTGTTATGAAGGCTAAATTAGAAAATGATTCTAAAGTTCTTAGCACATGTCACACACATATGGGTGCTCAACAAATGGCAACAACTGTTATTTAAAAAGTCAGCCTCCTCAAAATGAAAACAAAAAACCCAGCAGAGAAAGGTGATGGGACCTACATATTAGCATATATTTAGTAAATAAGATTATTACTGGCCTAATTCCTAACTTAGATCAGCAGTATTAGAAGACAGTGATTTTCACTGAAAACCAGAGGACAGAAGCACTTTTGAAGCAACTGGACCTTGGGGAGGGCAAGGCAAGTCAGTATGAAATGTCACAGAGGGCAGTAAAGTGGCCCTGAGCACTCAAGGGCCTGGAGAAGGGGACTCTATGAAATTCACAAAGGGGTCAGAATGGATGAAGGGAGAATGTCAAAGACACACTGCACATTTGCTTGTTTTAATGTTCCACCTAAGGTCATCTCTGTATGTCCCAAAGAAGAAAAAAATTAATTTATCCTTCCTTGTGTATTTCACATCTCCATGAGATACTGGTCTGCTGTTAGTATTCCATTTCAGCTACATTAGTATTATATTTCCTTTGGGAATTAGGTTGGAAGAATGACCACCACATATCCTTTCTTCTATTAAAAAACACATTCTAAGTTTCAAAGAACTCATTTACAAGGAAACATTAGGTCCATTCTTGTTTTCAATTAATTTGCATTCCAGACATGGAGATAATATTCAAATATAATAAATCATAAATTACAATTCAAAATAGTATATACTTCAATGCTAAAATAAGTGGAACAGTAGACAGTTATTACAGGCAGTTAAAATATTCAAACAGGCACAAGAAATCCTCTGATCAAAGGCATGAAAGCAAAAGGAATGGAACCGCAAGTAGAACATGAGGAACCAGGCCAGCTTTACTAGAAGGTCCTGCTGGAAGGCTTGCTCTCAAACAACAAAGACCTATGAGACCTAAAGACCTCTGAGGGGTTTGGCTTTATTCTTAAAGGCACTAGGATTCTGCTATGTGTAAAGTCAAAACATGATTTTAGAATCAGGTTATTACTAGCCTACTTCCTAATTTAAATTAGCAGCAGTATAGAAAGTAGTTGAAGGACAGACAGAATTGAGACAGGAAACAGAAAGCTACTTCAATAATCAGCCTATAAAAGGAAAAAGTCCGACAGTAAGGTTATGGCAACAAGAATGGAGAGGTAGGATACAACAAACTTGGCAACTGACTTGCTATGAGAAAGAAAGATGTATTGAGGATAAAATTCAGGCAGTATGATTGATGTGAAAAGTCAAATATAACTCAGAAATTCCCATTTTTAATACCTAGGACCATGAAAAATTCCTATATTAATCATAAAAAATATTTGACAAATGACTCCAACCAGAGGATTCTTATAAGAGTCCTGTTAAACCATAGGGTAATTTTTTAGGGTATAACATTCTAATCTCATTCTAAGCTTGACACTGAATTCAGGCTTCACATTTCATTCCAGTGATCAATAAGGAATGCGCATATATTTGAACACCAATTCTCCAGTTCTTCTGGTTGGAAGCACCAAAATGGTTTGCAATAATAACCAGGGTTGAGAAAATGAGAGATAAGCTTCGTGTTGAGCCATTTAAGTGCTGAATAAAGGGTTTGGTAATCTCTGCTCTCACATTATTATCAATCAAAAATTGAGAGTATACTTTAAAAATTCCTAATGTATTTAACATTTATAATATCAAATTTCTAACTGCAGTTTTATCTTGCAAAAAAAAAAAGGGGGGGTGAAGATATGAGGCACATTCCCCTAGTTACCATGGTTATACAGTTTAAGAGTACACCTCAAAGGGTTTGTTCATATTAGCATGATTAGAAATACTTCAGCTTAAAAACATAAAGATTCTCATCAGAAATTATTAAACATTATTTTTCTATTCTTCATTTTTATAAAAGAATGAAAATATAGCATGTTCTAAAGAAGAGAAAACTCTAGGGACAATCTGTTAATAAAATTTTAATTAATCAATTTATTCATTAATTCACCAAAGATTTAAGTGTCTATTATGTGCCAGGCAGCAGGAAGGGAAATCGGAATAAAAGAACAAATAAGACAGTCTCAAGGAGTTCAAATAGCAACTGGGGAAATAAAAGTAAATTATAATACAACTGCGATAGGTCGACATTAGAAATGTATGTCAAGTGTCATGAAAGCAGATTGGAGATACTAGTTACTGCTGCCTAAGGGGGCTGAGAGAGACTTAACAGAAGAGAGAAATGAAGGGACAACTGGATGGAGGGAAAGCACACTCTAGACATTATCTAAGGTGGAGACATCTGAGTATAGATGGGATTAGAAAATAGCAAGAAGCTAAGTGTGGGAAGAGTTGAGAATGCTTCAAGAGAGTTTGTAGAAACTGAGGCTTGATGAGCAGCTTAGGATTAGAGAGAACTCAGCAGGTATGTTTAGCAGGCTGTCTTCAGTCTACAGGCAAAGACAGTCAATCCCTTAATGGTTTTAAACAAGGGGAAGAACTTAGGAAATGGATTTGGGAAAGATCATTCCAGGGACAATATGGAAGATTCGTCCATCCATTTATTTAACAGATACTTGTGGAATACATTACTAATCTCTAACTTTGTTCTCTGTAGTACTGCCAGCATCTGGAACTTTGCGCAGCAGGAACACTGTGCAAATCAGGAATAGCTACTGTGCAAAGTTCCAGATGCTGGGGAGACTACAGGGAACAAAGAAAAACCCCCGGCAATCCTGGAACTGAAATTCGAGTGAAGGAAGATAGACAACAAAAACTTAGTGAGTAAAACATACATTATGTAAAAGAGTAAGAAGCCCTATAAAGAACCTTAAAGCAGAAAGAGGGATAGAAATAAAATGGAATAGAAATTTGATTCTATAGTGCTTCAGGAAGGCCTCACAGAAAAGGGGACCACTTGAGCAAATCCCAAAAGGAAAGTGAATAAACATGCAGCTATCCAGGGAAGAATAATCTAGGCAGAGGAAACACCAAGTGGCAAAGGCCTTGGGGCAGGCACTAGTAAGTTCAAGGAACAACAAAGACACCAGTGTAGCTAAAAACAATGGGTAAAGGAGAAAGTATTTGGAATGAGGCCCCAGAGGGGGAATTAACAGGGGACCTGTGACAGCCAGAAAGTGACCACCCTTATCCCCCCAAAAATCCACATCCTAATCTCTGGAAACTGTCAATGTTACTTTCTATGGCAAAATTGACTTTACAAATAAAATTAAGATAAGGATTTTGAGATGTGGAGACTATGTTGCACTATGTGTGTGGACCCTAAATGCAATCTTATATACCCTTGAAGGAAGGAGAAAGAGGGGGATTTGACACAAACACAGGGGAGAAGGTAATGTCAAGATGAAGGCAGGATTGATATGGTGAGTGCAATAGTCAAGGAATGCTGGCAGCCACCAAAACCCAGAAGAGGCAAGGAACAGATTCTCTCCTGGAGCCTCCGATGGAGTGCAGTCCTGCTGACACTTTGATTCCGGCTCAGTCATACTGATTTCAGACTTTTGTTGTCCAGACAAAGAGAAAATAAATTTCTATTATCTTAAGCCATCAATTTATGGTAACTTGTTACAACAACAAAAGGAAACTACTAGAGAGTCACATGATGAATGAATTATTGATAAAGAAGGCAGTCAAGAGGATATAATATTCCAGGAGAAAGATTATGAAATCCACTACTAGGACAGTTACTGACAATAGATAAGAGAACAGATGAGACATCAAGATGCTAAACTAGTAAGATCTGTTTTCAGATTAAGTGAAGACAGCAGGAAAGCAAGGAATCAACAATGATGTCAAGGTTTCTAATTTAGGTAATTTTGCAGCTAGATTATTAACAAAGCCAGGAAATTAAATCAAGAATAGGAATAGATTTAAAGTGGAAAGACAGTTTAGTTGTATAAGATATGTGAATTTACAATGATCTCAGTGTATCCAGAGGAAAAGTGAAAGAAATTAACATTTAGTAAGCAGTTACTAAGAAGTAGATTCTTTACACACATTTTTATGTTTAATCATTGAGACCATTTTATGAGGTAGATGGTACTGTTCCCATTTTACAGATGAGAACACTGAGACTCACAGAGTTCAACAGTGACAGCCCTTTATGTTTCTAACATGCCATCTGGGAATGGAAATACAAGTCAATCAGAAATGAGAAGTTAGAAGCTGAAGATAAAGATGTAGGCATTAACTTGTGGTAGGTACTTGAAGCTATTAGAATAGATAACACTGCTCAGCGTAGGAGAGAGAGGGGACAGAGAAGCAGCCCCCATGAACATGAAGTACTCTGCAGCTACAAGTTTCTTTCTACACCATCAGCGAGGAGCAGCTGGAAGAAATGTTAAAATCAAGGAAACTGGAGTAAACCATACGCATAAAACAAAGGCATAGCATAAGGGATTCTGAAAAATAAAATATCATCTTAAAAAATAGATTTTAAGTCCTGAATTCTAAGAAAAGAAAACCAGCAGCAGGTCAACAATAGAAAATCCCGTGGAAAAAGCCTAGACTTACCGTTGGATCTTGTGTTTCTCTGAGTTTGTGTGTAAATGATAATAATTTATCCAGAGTTTCCTGAGGTGCATTTGGGACCTATTTTTTGACAGAGTTGAGGACAAACAGAAGAAATAAATTGGGATATGTGATCAATCAATCAGAAATTATGACTACTTAGCAAATACTATTAGAATTACATGTTTAGAAAAGTCATTCATTGTTGGTTACATATTTAACTTACAGATAAAGTTGCTTATTCAACCTCTTAGGAAACACTGAAACCCCTGCTTTCTCTTTAAGAATCAGGTAATTTAAACCAAGACACTCTTCTCCATATACAATTCTATCACCAAGATAAAACTGAAGGGAGCCTTTAACACAATTTAAAACTGGCCCATAAAGAACTTTTCATGTATCATCATTTCCTATTTTGTTAACTTCAGCGTGGTATTTTAAGCACTAATTAGGTGTCTTCTTACTGAAACCAAGTTCCTTTATTTAGCAGCAATCTTACATACATATCTAAGTGACATAAGGTACACTTATTTAAGGAATGGATACTCAAGGTGTCCATTTTTCCAAAAACATGTAAAACACATACTTGAGGGCTATGATCAACATATCAATGAACTTGGGAGAGCAACTGCCCAAATAACACATATCAATTGCTTTTAACTATAACAAACTTCAATTAAGTACTTCATTAAGCTATAAGCAATTTTTGTTTAAGGAATAACAAATTTAAGGTTTTAATTTTAAAAGCTCAAAAAAAGATATTAAAACAATGACTAGGACAGTGTGACAATTTTAGAAGAATACTGCTTAGGGTTTCATTGGTCATGTAAGTAATTAGAATTTTTTTAAATGCTAAGTCCTAGTCCACATATACTTTCTTTCATTTATTCTTTAAATCAATCCTATGATGTAATAAATAGTATTATCCCCATTTTTAGATGAGGAAACTATGACTAAGTAATTTACTCAAGATCTAGAAGCTAATAAGTAGTGGATTTCACATTGAGAGCCAAGTAGTTAAACTCTAAAACCTATGCCTTTATTTGCAACCATGCTTACAAGACCTACAATTAATAAGATCATTCAGATGTTTCAAAGGGAATAAATGTATTTAAATAGAAAGTTACTAATTAGTGATCTAGAAAAGTACTGTCCAATAGAACCTTCTATGATGATGAGCATTGTATTTACGCTGTTTAATATGGTAGCCAAAAGCTCCCATGTAGATACTGAGTACTTGAAAAGTGACTGAGAAACAGAATTTTTTTTTTTTTTTGAGACAGGGTCTCATTCTGTCACTCAGGCTGGAGTGCAGTGGTGTGATCTCAGCTCACTGCAACCTCCACCTCCCAGGTTCAAGCAATTCTCCTGTGTCACCCTCCCGAGTAGCTGGGATTACAGGTGCACACCACCATGCCTGGCTAACTTTTTGTATTTTAGCAGAGACAAGGTTTCGCCATGTTGGCCAGGCTGGTCTCGAACTCCTGACCTCAGGTGATCCTCCCCCTTTGGCCTCCCAAAGTGCTGGGATTACAGGCGTCAGCCACCACACCTGGCCAAATTTTTTAAAAATTAATTTAACATGGTCAGGCGTGGTGGCTCATGCCTATAGTCCCAGCACTTTGGGAGGCCGAGGTGAGCAGATCAATTGAGGTCAGGAGCTCAAGACCAGCCTGGCCAACATGGTGAAATCCTGTCTCTACTAAAAATAGAAAAATTAGCCAGTTGTGGTGGTGTGCACCTGTAGTCCCAGCTACTTGAGAGGCTGGGGCGGGAGCCTTGAACCCAGGAGGCAGAGGTTGCAGTGAGCCGAGATCATACCACTCCAGCCTGGGCAACAGAGCAAGACTTAGTCTCAAACAAATAGTAATAATAATAATAATAATTTAACGTGGCTAGCGCTACTGCATTGAAGAGTGCAGTTCTAAAACTCTAGAAGTGCTAACCACAATGCTTGATTAAGGCACACATTGAAATAATGGATTACACACATGAGAAGTCATCGAAGTACTAATCAGGCAAGTACAGGATACATTACAGTCTTGAGAGACCAGGACTACTTACTATTTATGTGCCTGGCCTCCCTTTATAATAGGGACTTAAAATAGTCACCTTTGACTAAATAGAAAAATAAAAGGGATTCCAAACTGGCCTCCACCTGAGGAAAGAGGCGAGACAGGCCACATCTGTGGTTCTTAGAGTGTGGTTCCCAGACCAGCAGCATCAGTATCACCTGAGAACTTGTTAGAAATAAAAAGTTTAATATACCATCCCAGATCTAGTGGCTCAAAAACTATGGAGATGGAGCCCAGAAACCTGTGTTCTACCAAGTCCTCCAGATGATGCTGAAAAATGTGGAAGTTTAAGAACCACTGACCTTCACCACTGTATGAGGAAATTTGGGAGTAAATGGGAAGAAAAAGCCAAAAATGTCTAACTTTACTTTGGCCTGTGTATCAGAATGCCTTAAAAAGAGATTAGCTGTAGAAAATAGACTGAGATTGGCTTTCTTCTTACCTTTTCCTTAATCACTTGGATTTCTTCACTTTTCACAAGTGGTTTCATGTAATGGAAAAAGAACATGGTTAAGAATTCTGGTCCCAGCCACTGGTGTGTTGTGCTTCCGATAACAGGGGGTTCTGCCAAGGCGATGATTCTGAAGGAGGGATGGATTGGAAAAATGGATCTAAAATAGGAAAAAAATAAATAAAAAAACATAACATATCTTTCATGTAAGAAATTAGATCATGGCAAGTAAAGTCCAGGCAATGTTAGGGCTATCATGCTGTTAATAATGTCAATGTTATTATCCAAAGAGTTAGCTTTGAAAAAAACAAAGTCAGGACATTATAAGAACCTAAGATCAAAACAAACAAAAATCACCTACTGCTAGTAAATGTTGTACAATAATCACTCATGAAACTCCAGCCCTGGCACAAACCACTGCTTTTGATATACTGTTATGCCTACAACATATTTTCTCCATAGTGTCTTGAAATAAAATCCCACCCAGTTCACATTCATTATATAGACCATCTTTATTCATTTAAAAGCCCTTCAGAATCTCCTGTCTCGCAAGGAACCCACTTTTTGTCCATCAGAAAGACCAGGAAGCACAATTCAGGACAAGGAGACTTTACAGTACAGAAAATGTAAGAAACATAAAGGGTTAGATTGAATTTAAAATTTAGATTGGGAATAAGAACACTTAAGCCTTAAAAAGGCAGAGAAAATAAAACCTTTATAGAATGCACTCTTTTGTGATTTTTATAGGAAAGTTACGATTTTAAAGTGATCTCTTTTAAAACTCTCTGGTAGGGAAACTGAGGAAGCATGTAAATTTTCTAGGACACACAGAGGAGTAGGACAAGACTTCCTTTGGTTTGTGAAATGACTTGAGTTACTTTTGGAAAAACTAGAAACTCCGCATCAGAATCTTAATCATGTGGGTAATATTGTCCATTTTCATCAATTCTACTCAAAAACCCAGCAGAAATATGCTTTTTGAGGGTAATATAGTTCTTGCTAAGAGAAAGGAGAGATAAAATATAAACACTTGCCAAGAGCTTCAGAAAAACAAAAATATAGGTACATAACTGGCATTTCACCATTAACTATAACATTATATTAGAGCCCAAAAGTTAAGTGACTAAGCAACTAGAATACCAGGAGGTAGGACACAATCGGAAAGAATCAGATGAGTACTCTGAAGAGTTAAGACCAAGTACCAACAATACAACAGGCAGGTCTACCAAGTCCCTGACGGCGTAATTTGTAATTTTAGAGGCCACATCACCATTTGAAAACAAGGGAAAACCAATTTTTAGAAATTGGTCACATGAAAGACCTAGATGAAATGAATTCACAAAAGTTACCAGATATCATCTTATTTCTCTAGGTAGAAAGAAAAAGGTTTATTTGCAGATGTTTTAGCAGGGTCTGGGGGAGTAATCTGTGCAAAAGTGTTGTTCTGGAAAAAGAGGGAAGGATAACAACATGGATAGTGCCTGAAAGTCCAGAGGATAGCACAATCGCTCAAGATTGCTAGTAATTAGACAGCCACGTGACAGAAAATGGACACAGAAAATCCTGTGAGGGAAAGCCAGAGGGGGAGGTTTTTCCATTTTCCACTTCTGCTAAGTGGTTTGCTGTAATCCAGAAAACTGCCATAAAGCCCAGCAACAGATGTTGGATGTATCCTTGATCCTCCTCTCTCCTAGTTAGGACCAAAAAAAGGTAGGAGAGAAAGAGTGTGGTTTGGCCATCCAAAATTAAAGCTGCAGATGTAGTTTCTCGCTTCAGATAGTGAAGGACACCAAATCAGGGAATAAACAAAGTCAAAATACAACAGGCAAGCCAAAAGGGGAAGTCTAATGTATATCTCTAAACCAGCAGATCAGGAAGCCAGGTACCACAGTGGAGCTGTAAAATTAGGACTAAAAGAGCAACTAAAATGACAGCATGCTAAATGGTTTACATTTAAAGGTGATGGTCATTTACCGGCACGTATATTGTCAATAGCTTGCTTTTTAGTATTGATTCCAGCAGGGTACTTGAGTAAGCTGGCCAAATTTGAAGAAGGCAGTTTCTAAGAGAGCTGATACGTTAGGCAGAGAAGTGTGTATAATGATTATAAAAACAGTCACCAAACTACTGAATAACAGGATGAGAAGGGCCTTTTTGTTTGCCACGTTCTCCCTAAAGGCTTCCTTACGTACAAATAGGTTACATGGGAAGTCATTTCCTGATGATGCTAGCTAGGTTCCGCAAGCCTGAAAGTTAGAGAGCAGAGGATCTGCTGTATACTTAAGGTGATGTGATAAACTGGTGGGTAATACAAAGACTGAAGAAGTGATAGATAACGAAAAAATTATGAGATAAGTGCCATTAAAATTTAAAAATTAAGGTTAGGTTTAATTTTACTAAAAATTTAGCAACAACAAAAAAATAAATGAAACTATAGATATGGCTTAATTTCAGACAAAAAGATATTATTTCCTAAAGATTACAGATTTAGAGAGCAAAAAAATAGTTTAAAACGATTTTTAAAATAAAAATATTGAGGTCAATATGTTTGTCTGTGGGCATAAGTACGAGTTTTTGTAAAGTACTTTCTGATGCTTCTCAGCAGTAAAAAGGAACAAACTATCAATGTACAAACAACATGGATGATCTCAAAACACTTAAGCTACGTGAAAGAAGCCAGACAAAAAAAAGAGCACACACTGTGTGATTCCATTTGTATAAAACTCTAGAAAATGTGAGCTCTACATAATGACCAGAAGCAGAACCCTGGGGATAAGACAGGAGGGTAAAAGGGGCAGGAGTCAGGGATAACAAAGGGGTCTGAGGACACTTTGAGGATTATAGATACATTCATTATCTTGATATTGGTGATGGTTTCATGCGTATTTATAAATATTAAAAATTATCAAATGGTGCACACTAAATATGCATAGTTTATTATATGTCAATCATACTTCAATGGAGCTTTTAATAAAACAAAAAAAGACTTCAAAAATCTCCAGTTTTCAAAGGGAATCCTATGGTACATTTTCATTGAATTTGTATATTGGGGAACTTGAAAGAATAATCCGGAAGGTTTCTGCAAAGACATCAATCATGAGCTAGAACAGATTTCATCATTAGTTTTCCACACTACCGTTCTAATTTAGAACCTAGAGTTATATAGTTCTGTACACAGACCTTATTTCCCCTTTTTCCTATGCAGTGTAGCAAATTGCATGAACACATTCCTTATGCATCTTTATACCACTGAGGACATAGTGTAATACTTGGGGAAGAGAGCAGATGCTAAATAAATACATGTATATTGCTATTGTTAATGACCATCAGTGCTATTAACTTTTTGAAGATCTTTGGTGGGAAGGACAAACAAAGGTAAGTAATAAGAACTGAACTTACGGTGTCCCAGCCAAAAGCTAGTCAAACTTGGTCCTGAATAAATACGTAAGAAGTACATTCTCTGAATCAGGACAAACTCAAAACATAAAATAACAAATGATTATATCATTTACAGGCAAAGGGTTTCAAATGGTTCCTTGACTACAAAAATGTTCGGAAAAAATTATTTTCAAAATCAGAATTTCCTTAAGGCTTTTTGTTTTGAAAATCAAACACAAAGACTTGGGCATAAAATCCTGCATCTATCTAGAATTTTTTTTTTTTAATTTATATGGTCTGATTTGCTTGCAAAGAAATAATAAGGTTTCTAGGAAGCTAGGAGATAGTGCTTGGATTCAGTCTTCAAATATGGGTAATAGTGAAAGGGTTGAGAGAATATAACCGATCAAGGATTGTGCTCAAATGTCCAGTTATGTTCACCACTAAGACTGAGAGATTATAAACTGTTTTCAGTGTTCAATAGCAACAAATATAAAGGAAATATTTAATAAAAATGCAAAAACACTGGAGCATATATAAGTACATCTAAGACTAGGCCACTAATCTTTATTGTTCCCCCAGATAACCAGAAGCCCTTTCTTGGCAATATGAACTGTTAACAACAGAAACTCTCAACCCCCTCATTTATGGTCTGGCCAACAGCAGGAAAAGACATATTTAGCATCCTATAGTATTTATATTCCCCCTTTCCCTAAAGAAGTTTTTCTCATCAAAGGAAGGAGTTCTATTTTGGTCTGTATTTCCTGAGAGAAATACAGGCATAGTATCTGGTGTCTGCGGCCATCACACTATATCTAACCACCATGTCCACAGCATTCCTGGTGTCTTGTAATATGAAAAAAGAAGACTCTAACCCTTCTAAGGGCATGTTAGGCATGTGATTACCTGCAGAGAATATAAAAGCCTGTAGAGCACCCCAGAGATGACCAAGATGTATAGTCTTGGTGAGAATTACTATACAATGAAGGTTGGCAAAGGAGTCAAATATAATCGTTTAGAAACTGGGTTTCACACTATAAAGCTGAAAGGGTTGGTAACCCACTGCTAGAATATGTTAATTTTGAGACCCTCAGTTAATAGACTTTGTCATTAAAAGGCATCAAAGTATTCCTAATTACTAGGTTCACATAAGGAAACATTGCTAACTCAGAAGGTCAACTAAAACTGGATTAATAGAGTTACCTTTACCTGAGTTTCCTCTCTGAAAGCAGAAGAGGTATCTAAATTTACCAACTAGGTCTAGAAGCAAAGAAGTTCTTAAATCTGTCTTGGCCTTGGAAAGGGCTAGAGGAATGTCAGAGAAGGTTTCACAGAGGACATTACTCTTAAAGGAATAGCAGAAGTTTGCTGTGCTGGTCCTGAGAGGTGAAAGACGAGGCTGACAAGGCAGGCATGTGTAGATACTGGCCCTAAACACTGTAGGCGATGGAAACCACTGAAGGACTTAAACAGTGATGTGATCAAATTTATAGATCAGACACTTTAAACTTGTATCCTATGTGTGGGGAGAGGAAGGGGTTTCATTCACTAAGTTAAGGTATTTAAGAGGAATAGCAGGTTTGTAGACATTAGTTCAAAGTGTCTCTAAGACACATTAAGGAGAGACATCTAGTAGTCAGATGGCACTTAGCAGAGAAAACTAAATTGGAAAGGGCTTTTAAAGAATGCTCAGTCTATTGGCTGGGTGCAGTGTCTCATGCCTGTAATCCCAGCACTTTGGGAGGGTGAGGAGGGAGGACTGCTTGGGGCTAGGAGTTCAAG